CACGAAGGGCGGTAATACAAAGATAAACAGACGGTCGTGTTCTTTCTGTGTATGTAGTAATTTCCGAAGTTTACATAAGTCATAACATACTTGTATTAACCACCACCTGTAGTGTAGGAGATCCCCCCAGGCCCCCATACGGGGGCCCTTCTAAACAAAATGTAAAATTATATTTTACGAAGTTAGACCACGTGAAACTCGTGTGTTACTGATCTCTGATCTAGATTGAGATTTGTGGGTATACTTTTTCTAGCAAAATGTAAAATTATTAGTTTATTAACTTGTATGGTTATTTGATGGTATCGGTTATTGTGTATAAATTGAATAAAATAAAAACAACAAGTAAATGTAGTGAAAGTAGTCCGTTAAAAAATCAAATTATAGTCCACAGTTTTCTCGTACCGTGGATCATTACTTTACACGGTTTACAGAGGTGAAGCAAGGTGACGGGGTCACCTGAACTTTATAGAACCCAAGACGGTGGGAAGTACGTCTAGATCTAGGGAGGCGAAGCGCAGCCCGAGGACTAGTCGGACAGCCACAAGAAAAGGGGTATTACTGGCGCAGCGACGTGTAATAGGGAATGTTTGATCGATTCAATCGATCTACATTAAGTAAGAATTGACATCCGAAAATAGTTTCATAATTAATGAATTAGATTTACATTGTTGTAAAATTTAATATTATTGAATGTAAATACCTCAATACTGGAAGAAGAACTCCACTAACACAGGTTTATTTCAATACAGACGAAGTTGAACGACAACGAGACAGAACAGTCCGTCAAAAGGAAGTCGAGACTTTTACTGTCGAAAGGGCGCATAGCCACCGAGCTTCAACGGCTCTCGCGATCCCCCGTCGTGAATATTAAGAAAATTATTTTTTTTAAAAAAAAAAAAAAAAAAAATAGACGAACCCCCGAACGCGGGGGATCGTCGCCGCGCGTATAAAGTCGTCGCCGCGTCCCCTTTGTGACGCAGTATACTCTCCGGGGCGGAATGTAAAAGGCGGTGTCTAAACCCCTTTAACCATGCACGCGTTTCGTAACACCCCTAAACTTCCTGCGCTTCAGATGGGTACACGTCGGAGCTTTAATGGGGGTTTGGTTCCTGCGCCGGAGACACCTTAAGGTTCATACGACCTCTAACCTTGTCAGGAAGCCGCCGTGAGTTACTGCATCATAGGAACTTTATAACCGAACCTTCGGTCAAAGGAGCGCTAACTCTTTGCCGGAGACAAAAGGCTTACGGTCTTAATAAGAACGGAGCGAAGACTTCGTTCACTGAGCCTTCTGTACACGATGGTTCGTTCGCATGAGCTGTAACTCTTTGTGGGTAATAGAAATATATGAAAAAGAAAAAAAAAGTAAACTGAAAAAGTCGTCTATCTATTTGAAATCGTAAATAATATTCATCATCACTGCAATCATGTTTGCTGCCAATAAGTTTAAAATTACAGAGTAGAATGGAGTTAACTAGGAAAGCGAGAAGGAAACTAAAGGAACTCTCTGACTTTTTTTCTCTTGAAAATTTTAGAAATTTTCAAGTGGTCAATTGGTCAACCTTCTCGAAGAATGGTACACTGGTTTAAGACAGTGGTTCAGAGGTAACCCGCTCAGGTGCAGGTTGTGAAATGTGAGTAGCGACAACTTCAGCTTCACTGCCTTGGATGTTGCTGTAGTCCGATCTCAGACAGATGCAGGTTGTTGCATACTCCTCAAATTTCTATGTTAAGTAGTTAAATATATATTTTACAATTTAACAAAACCATGGGAGATGAATGGTAAATTGGCAAAACTAAAGAAGTTGTAGGGATTAAAAGTCCCTCTTGTTATACGTTTTTCTAACTATTCTTTTATTGTCCATTTCCCAAAAGAAATAGTATTTATAGTGTAATATTATTATAGAGTCTGTTCAAAAGAAATTGAATGAACAGCTATAATAATATAGTACTACATAAATACTATTTCTTTTGGGAAATGGACAATAAAGAATAGTTAGAAAACGTATAACACAGGAGGGACTTTAATCCCTACAACTCTCTTTATTTGAATTTACATTCATTCCATGGTTTGTTAATATTGCACACACTTAAAATGTCCACGCGCGCCGCGCTCACATTTTGCTGGGCCCGCGTGCCTTAGCACCGCTGCTATGACTCCATCCTAGGGGAAACACTGTGACGCACACTTGCTAGCCTGTTCCACTCTTTGTTTTCCGAATGCCAGGAAGGAAATTGGTCCGTGCGCAAAGCATTGTGGGGATTTTCAGACCACGGAGTCTACACATGTGCAGGCTCGAAATTTCTCGCTACGAAGTACGCCGGGCTCGGTAGAATTACAAGTATGCTGGACATTGGAACAGTCCTTCGGCGGCACTCGATGACGTAGTATGCTTGAAATAGTGGCTCTGGAGCAGCTTTACTCGAGATTGAGTCAAGTGTCCAACAAGATGGCAACCATGCCAAGGCACTACTTAAGCAAAGTGGCGCTTACATGCTTACAATGGAAATGCTAACTTGCTGATATTTAAGGGGCCCTATTCAGCTTTGTGTGGTTTTCCCTTTCCTGTAGTGTTTTATAAGATAAGGTAAAGATAAGAGGTACTTTATTGATCCCAAATTGGAAAATGTTTGCGTTGCAGCAGCAAAAAAAACAAAACAAGGCATTGCACATAAGTAGAAACTAAAGAGTAGAAATAAATAATTCTAGAAATTAAACCTCTCTAGAAAATATACAGTAGACCGTGAAGATAACAAATCTATTAACTCTGACAATAAAACACGATTTAAAGGCTTTAGACACAATATAAAGCAGGATATTATTTACACTCAGTGTTATATAGGTTTTTGTGCATGTAGATGGTCTCAATGGCTAAAAATCCCTGTGTTCCCTTCTGAGGGAGTTTCTCTCCCACACACTCCCTCCACATGAGCGTTTGTGCAGAACAACATCACATATCAATAACACCTATATATTGATAGATCTGTTTTTCCTTTAGAGTCGCCTGGCAGTCACTGAAGAACTCCACATCATTAAGTTTGTGACAGAGTTCCGCCATGTTGGACTGGAACTCAACATTGAGGTGAGTAAACTCCATTCTGATCAGAGGCCCTTACATTTCTGTTTGCGGCCGAACTATAAGATAACATTTGTTTAAAAGATGGAACTATTGGAGAGGAAAATGGCAGTAGTGAAGCAGTTTCTTTAATGTCTTCTGCTGCTGTGTTTGGTCAGGCCAGCACTCTGCCTGTGGTTGTCATCTCCGCTACCACGCAGGTCTCCAGCGCCTGGGCCTCCATCATGTGGAACAACATGCTGTCCACCGGTGACTCCAGGGTAAAAACACACTCCTCAGCACCAAAACATTTAAAATATATTGTTTTTGCTGCATGATAATGAAAACGCATGAAAATGTCGTCCTAACGATACATTTTACTTCAGCCGATTACATTTTATGCTTGAACATTTGTAAAAGAGGTGTTAATATGCTGAAATTATCTTGCTGAACAAAATGTGTAAGTATCATAAACATGTGTTTGCCAAAGATCTTATTTTCTTCAGTATTCAAAATCTAATGGAAAAATCCCATTGCTTTTCATAGAGGGGGCGCTTGTGACGCTAGTTTCTGGGTCATCTTCACTGTTTCAACCATTGTCTTGTTGATTGTTAATCCACCGTTTGGTCTTAAATCACGTTATAAGTGTGTGCCTTTGTTCTGCAGAACCTGCAGTTGTTTGTGGACCCTCCTCCCCTTACATGGGAGCAGCTGTCCCAGGTTCTCAGCTGGCAGTTTTTGTGCACTGGCATGCGGGAGCTCGACGAAAACCAGCTCTCCGTGCTAAGAAACAAGATTGTGGGTGAGTGTTTGAGCGTGTATTCCACAGAACTGAACCCTGTCAAATACTAATGATAGTTTGCAAAAAGAGAGTGTACCTCCTAGTTCAGTGTTTCTCAAACTTTTTCATACCAAGGACCACTTAACCAATAAAAAAACACTCGCGGACCACCTAACTCCAAAAATATTCAAAAACACATTGTTTTTCTAGAACAGATTACAAATCGCCTGCAAATGGTACAAACAAGTGGCAACATGTGTGATGAAGGTGTTGCGCTGGGCTATATCATGCAATCAAAATTGAAGCTCGCTCCATTGCGGAGATATTCCCGCGAGAGTGCTGAAAACTTTAATAAATTAATTTATTTCAAATGTGAAATTGTACCAATATACTCACTGACCACTAGGGGGCGCTCACGGCCCACCAGTGGTCCGCGGACCACACTTTGAGAAGCACTTGATCTGAACTTGTCAGAAAATGTAGCTTTGCATTGGATCGGCATTTGGGACTGCGTTTTTTGAGAGCTTCCAAGTAAAGTATTAGATATGCAATTGGGGAAATATGCTTATTCATGTTCTTGCTGAGAGTTATATGAGGATACAACTCCACTTGTGTTTTTGTTACTGCATAGCCATAAGCAAGTTAGCCTAGCATGTCACAAAGACGAGATAACCAAGCGCCTCTATGTCTGTATAAAAAACTAACGATTAAAAACAACAGTCTGCAGAGACATGAGAGTGGCATTGATATCAGTAGGATTTAAGATTGTGTTTTTTTTTAAGCAAATCTATTATGGTTATTTAATTAAAGCGTGATTGGATAAACCAAAGATTAAAAGGATGATGTACTAATTTATCTACTTCAGAGTTCATGTTATATTCAGGATATTTCTTCTGTCATTTTTCATTTCTTCACAGATGATCCTGATGATCTAGTTCACTGGAGCAAGTTCTCCAAGGTGAGTGTTGAGGAAGGTGCCGATTATGCTGTGCTATACACAGTTACAAACTCCAGAACTTTACTGTTTGTGTTTACATGTTGACTTTTGCTTTCCAGAATGAAAATGCCTGGCTCTGGATTGATGGAATCCTGGATCTGATCAGAAAACACTTGGTTGATCTGTGGCGGGATGGGTAAGTCATCTGAGTGCTTTCTTTCTGTTTGGTTAATTCACATTCATAATGAGGCAGTGGTCCACATACCAGCACGTCATACTTCCCAATCAACTGAGCTCTGGTTATATTATGTGTGTGAGCTTCAGGTCCATCATGGGGTTCATCAGCAGGGAGAGAACAGCTGAACTGTTGAAGGAAAAACGGACCGGGACCTTTCTGCTCCGCTTTAGCGAGAGCAAAACAAATGGAGCCATCAGCTTCAGCTGGGTCGACAACGCCAATGGTGGTATGTTTGTTCATTTGGAGCTAAAGAGCCAAAGGGCTCTACAAGTCTGAAGTGAGGTTGAATGAGGTACTTTTCCATAGCCAGTGTATTACTACAGCATGTGGTGAATGAATGAGTCCTAAACCTGGAATTGAGAGGTCACACAATAACATGATTACATTTTTGAGGTGTCTAAAATCCATTCTGCTGCTGCGCCCCTCCCCTCAGAACTAACAAAGCTCCATGCTGGTACTCCTGTCTGTTTCTTTGCCATCTATTGTAGGTTATACACTGGCTTTGGGTAACATATGATAAGATTACACTTTATTTTCAGATCGAGTCTGACATTTTTCACATCACAGCCGCTCCATTTGAAACATCAACAAGGACAAATATTCAAGACAAGACACAAGGGAGGGAACGGACATCTAACATCACAATCACTGAAGAGAAACATGTTCAAGACCCTCTATCGTACATTAGATCTGGGACCTAACTCTGTATTTACTGTAAGAATTAACTTGTGTACAACAGTGCTCCAGTCTGACCCTATTCAATCGTGGGACCCTATATCTCCGATTTGATGGTAACAATACATAATCACGGTTCAGGAGATGGTTGGGGCCAGAGATGATAAGTGCCTCATACAACCCCTCCTCAAAACCTTCAAACTCCAGTCAGCTTTCCCATCCTGAATGAAGTTATTTCTCACACTCAGATATCTGTCCTCTTCCTGTATGTTGTTCGCCTGCAGCGCCTTTTGTGCATTCAATAGATCCCTACACCAAGGACGAGCTGGAGAAGACGTCTCTGCCGGACTATATCAACACTTACAGTCTGAGAGGCCGGAAGAGCAGACACACCAACCCCCTGCTCTACCTGTACCCAGACATCCCCAAAGACACCGCCTTTGGACACTACTTCACCAACACTGGTACTGTTAACATGGCTACTGTTTACTGTTTGAGAACAAAATGTCTTTGTTCACCAAGAACACTAACCATTAACCAGTCTTTAAACACTGCCAGGGCCAATACCATCTTCCTGTTGGTGTTTACTTCCTGTCCGTCTTCTTCTGCTCTTCCCTTTAGTGTATACTTCCTGTCTGTCTTCTTCTGCTGTTCCCTTTAGTGTTTATTTCCTGTCTGTCTTCTTCTGGGCTGAAGTTGAATAGTCCATTTAGCTTAGGAACCTTCCTAACCGAGTGAAATGAACCGGAAGTCCCTCAGTGGCAGCCATGATAAGTGCCATTCGAGTTCTCTAGATGATAGGAAAGGAGGTTTCAAACTTCCTTTATAACCTCCTTTAGCTTAGGAACCACTGGACCTCCCTAACCGAAAGGAGAGGAGAAAATGCTGCCCCACAATGCCTTGCAGCCGCAGCGTGTGCCGTCACACAACATCCGGCCGTTCACGGAAACAACCGATTATGACCGAGAAATGATATCATGAAAGTTACGGTGCTTATTAAGCTTTTTAAAACGTATGTGGTAAGTTGCCAAAGTGCTTTGTTTTGAACGTTCATCAGTATTATAATCAAAAAGAGAAATATGAACGTTAGTTTTTACTGAAATGATCAAATAAAGTCAACATGTCAGTCTTTACTGAGCTGTGTGGGGTTTGTTCAACCTTTAAAAGATGTTTGAATGGTGATATACACAGTGATAGATGTTAAGGACTAACGTTTATAATAAATACATTTGTATTTATTTTAAGATATTTTCATACAATCATACGTATTGGGATCATTTGTATTAATGTGGATCGGAGGGAGAGGGTGACGAGCATAAGTTTCACTTTCCTTTTTTATTTCAATTCCAACTTTGGTCAAGAAGAATATGTTTCTCTGTTGTCCACGTTCATAAAGCAACAGCATCAGAGCACGGTGCAGAGTCTCTAGATGAGTCCCTCGTTCTTATTATACATCCATGTTGAAGTCCGCTGTATAGAACACTGTAGTTTCCATAGTTTCCCCACAGCAGCAGACGCACATTTATGACGTCCGCTGGCGCATCATAAACACGTCGGATAGTGAAAGTGCAGTCGGATTCTCTAAAGTACCGCAGTCTCTTCTCCTAAGTCCTTATGAATTCTCCTATCCACTATCCCTTAACCCCGTGACGTTTCACTCAGAGGTCAAGGAATAGACGATAGGGTTAGATGTTAGGAGCTGATTTTTGGACTATTCGACCGCAACCCTGCTGTTCCCTTTAGTGTTTGCTTCCTGTTTGTCTTCTTCTGCTGTTCCCTTTAGTGTTTACTTCCTGTCTGTCTTCTTCTGCTGTTCCCTTGAGTGTGTACTTCCGGTCTGTCTTCTGCTGTTCCCTTTAGTGTTTACTTCCTGTCTATCTTCATGTCCTGTTTTTTTCCCCTTTTTTTCCTCTTCTTTTCTGTGGAGAAAATATTATTATATATATATTATATAAATGTATATTTCTTAGCAACGGTCTGCTTAGCTTAGCAGCAGTCTGCTATCATAAAAGACCACTGAATGTCCAAATTAACCAATCCGAATCGAGTATTCAACTTAGCCGTGTACATAATAACCATTGGTTAGTTACAAGTCTGTGCAACAGTTGAAAAAAAGTAACGCTTCTAACATTGTGCCCCTTGCAAAATGATGGATTATTACTCTCAAATTCTGAGGGTGATACATATTCTTTATTGAACATGAGACCTGTAATGACCTCTGATCACATGTGTTCATGCAGCAGAGAAAATGCTGGCCGTAGATGGATACGTTCACAGAAAAAGGGGGGATTTCTCAGAGTAAGTAAGACAACCATTTCTATTTTATTTTATAAAATCAGGATCAGGAATCAGGAGCCACTCTGGGGTCACATTTTAAGAAAAATGTGTAAACCGTACGGTCAGATTCACAGATAGTCTCTGGGTTTTGTGCACTCTTTAACTGCTGCCCTATCTCTCTGTAGCCTTATACTTGTAAATGGAACTGTGAACATTTATGATAACCTAACGGTGCTACTTGTAAATGGAACTGTGAACATTTATGATAACCTAACGGTGCTATTTCTCTGTGTCGATTCAACACTATACTGACATATTTTTACAGGGATCACTTTCTGTTTTAATGCTTAAAATACATACATTAGTTCACAATATTCAAATTTGTACTGCTTTTAAAAAATATTGTGATATTTGTATTTTGTACATAAATAAAGGATTTAGCCTTGCTCCATCAATCAAAAGATTAGATGCCAAAATATGCAAAAAGCTTTTTTTTTTTTATGGATGTATGTCCTAAACTAAAATGTCGAAGTGTCTTAGTGAATCATTTGATTTATTTTACAGTAACCCTACACCACCTCCGTCTCCACCTAGGGAGCCCAATACGGACATGGAAATGGAGATGGACTTCGAAACAAAAGTAGGTTTAAAACTACATCATCATGCATTGGTTGATTCATCGTTACTGTTATTTTTTAAATATATTTACTGTTATGTCTCTTTTTTCCATTATTATTACCTTTTTAAATGTGTGTGTATACAGCAACAAAAAAAATCAAGAGACCACTGCAGCATTATTAGTTTCTATGGTATTAATATTTATAGGTATGTGTTTTAGTAAAATGTATCTTTTTTTATTTTATTCTATAAAATACTGACAACATTTCTCTCTGTTGGAATTGTTTCAATTCAACAGACACTGGAATGGAATGGCTGCCTTACATGTAGAGATTTAAAAAATTGAAGAGACCACTCGTTTTCATTAATCTCAGAGCCGAATTTGTGTCTGTCTGTGTGTATAAGTGGTTGTAAGGGTATGTACATACAGAAAAAATTAAGAGACCACTCGTGTATATATACATATGTACTGTATATATTTCTTTTTATATATTTGTATTCTCTTGGATGGTGAGGAACAGAATTTCGATCCCTTGTCTGTGTCACACAAATAGAGGAATTGACAATAAAGTTTACTTTGACTGATATGTTTGGCCTCTAGAGGGCAGTGGAACAAGCTGTTACCATAACATTGGCAGAGGATTGTCTCATTCAATGGTTCTCAACCTTTTTCTGTCATTCCCCACTTTGAACAGGTGGGCCTTTTCAAGCCCCACCTGTTCCTCATCGCTCCAATCAAATGGTAGGCCAAGCTTAAAATTGACAAATATATCGTTCTAAAGCAGGGGTCTCCAACCTTTTTATAGGATGAGAGCTACTTTCAAAAAAATAAAACAAGTCGTGAGCTACTTTTACTCCTCTTTTCTTTTTTTTTTGCAGGATATATAATTAGCACATTTTAACGTTAATATATGCTTACCTTTAACCTTTGTTTGGGTCTGTGGGACCCGTTTTCAGTGTTTACTAAAAGAAAATGTATGCAATTAAATTATTTTAACCCGTTTTATTTGGGTGTGGACCTCACATCCTCTAGGGGGGTCCGGGGGCATGCACCCCCGGGAAGATACTTTTTAAAATGTTGTAGTGAAATGTATCAATCTGGTGCACTTTGAGCACAACATGAATTTATGGATACAGCTCTCAACAAATATGAAAGGGAGATGTATACTTTTCAATACTCCAAACATCTTTAGAATATGATCACAACCAATAACAAATCATTTAAACTTGTTTATTCTTATCTTACCTAGTTAGCCTTATTTCTTTTTATTTATGCATATGTTACTAATCACTCCCCTTTTAAAACATTTTTTAAAAGCAGGCTCGGATCGGCCATCGGGAGATTCGGGACTTTTCCCGGTGGGCCGCTGCCGCTGGTGGGCTGCTAAATTCGGTGGGCCGCTGCCTCTGGCATAGGTGGGCCGTGGACTTTCACAGCGCCGGTACCGCATCC